TGCTGCGTCACCTGTAAAGTCATGGAATCAATTATTAACCAATCCATCATCCTCCACTTAGAGACAAACAACCTACTCTCCAATAAACAATTTGGTTTCAGAAAAAAACTATCCTGTAATCTGCAACTCTTACACTGCAAAAACATATGGACGACACAACTCGACCAGGGCAAAGCAATAGACGCAATCTACATAGACTTCTGTAAAGCCTTTGATTCAGTGGTACACGACAAACTACTCCTAAAAATAAAATCCTATGGTATCTCTGGACAACTGAATAACTGGATAGAAGCATTCCTGTCAAACAGACAACAAATGGTCAAAATCGGGAGCGTCCTATCAAATCCAGTACCTGTCAATAGTGGTGTCCCCCAAGGCAGTGTTCTAGGACCAACTCTCTTCATACTCTACATAAACGACCTCTGTGATCATATTAAGAGCAATTGCGTTCTCTTCGCTGATGATGTAAAGCTGTTCAATACCACAGACAATACTGCTACCCTACAAAAAGATCTTGACTATGTATCAGAATGGTCAAACAAATGGCAACTTCAAATCTCAACAAATAAATGCTCTGTCTTACATATTGGCAAAAAAAATCAGAAAATAAAATACAAGCTGAATAGTCAAGATCTTGTTGATGACCCAAGCTCTGTAAAGGACCTTGGAATACTCACCTCTAATGATCTAAGTGCTAGAGCACACTGCAACTACATAGCCAAAAAGGCATTAAGAGTTGTTAACCTAATCCTACGTAGCTTTTTCTCTGGTAATATCACACTACTAACCAGAGCATACAAAACATTTGCTAGACCAATACTCGAATACAGTTCATCAGTCTGGAACCCTCATTACGTATCTGATATTAGCACAATTGAGAAAGTCCAGAAATATTTCACAAGAAGAGTTCTCCACTCCTCTACTCGTTGTAGAATACCTTATGCCACCAGACTTGAAATTCTAGAACTAGAAAACCTTGAATTACGCCGTCTTCGGTCTGATTTAAGCATGGTATATAAAATCATACATTGCAATGTCCTACCTGTCAATGAATACTTCAGCTTCAACCATAACAACACAAGAGCACACAATAGATACAAACTCAAAGTTAACCGCACCAAACTTGATTGCAGGAAATACGACTTCAGCAATAGAGTGGTCAATGTCTGGAATACTCTACCCGACTCTGTAGTTTCTTCCCCAAACCCCAAAAACTTTAACCTTAGACTGTCTACTATTGACCTCACCCCTTTCCTAAGAGGTCTGTAGGGGGCGTGCATAAGCGCACCAACGTGCCTACCGTCCCTGTCCTATTGTTTCTCTTATTCTTCTTTTATTTTTCTTATATGTACCCATTTCATGTATTCACAACTATGTATACACTTATACTTATTATCTTGTAAACAATTGGCAAATCAAATAAATAAATAAATAAATAAATTGATTTATTTAATTTCATTCACAGGTCTCCTTTGAATTCAAGTCCACCTTCCATTCACAACTGGCTAATCTTTTCTTTAATGAAGTAGTCAAGAGGATGGCCTCAGCCTTTGAACAGAGAGCAGAGAAGTTGTACAGCACTTGAACAGCAGCCCAGCCACACCAGGCAATCCACTGCACGTGATAATGGTCTTGGGAATACTGAAGTTGGAGTCCACCTTCCTGATCTCATAGATCAAACTCTTCTTTTTGGATCTCATAGACCAAACTCTTCTTTTTGCCTACATCTGTATCATTTCTTGGGTGCTTTTAATTCACTGACATGACTTTATTTATGCCTATTTACCTTGCCAAAAACAAAACCCACCTCTCAAAAGTGCACATTATTTAAACGATTCTATTTTATTTACAATAAAAATAAATTATTGGATATTTAACTATGATGTTGTAAGGATGACTCTTTGTTACAACGGAGAGACCCTGACCATCACTGAAAACTACAAATATTATAATGGATTTTAAAATTATTTTTAAAACAGAAGGGTTTCAGATTTTTAAAAAGTGACATATTAGCTCACTGAATAATTTCTTGAAATATAGAAAAACAGCTAGCTAAGCACAATACTTTTTTCCCCCTTCAGTGGCATTCAGATGTAAGTTCCTACATTCTCCCTTTCTCTTGTTAAGCCTTTTTCTTGTTTCTTTCCTTGAAGTAACAACTTTCCTTTCAAATTAATTCAAACTACTCTAGAATGTATTGAAAATGGAATAAAAACAGGGGTGGGCAATGGATTTTTCTTTAGTAGCTCACAAGAAGACCCTGGAACGAGCAACTTGATCAAAACTTGTTCCTTGTGAGCCAGCCTTTCTTTTATTCAAAATTCTCCTGAGTAGAGGCTTTTGTGAACAGCAGCAGCATTTAGCACAAGGCTGTTAAGTAATTGAGAAGTTGCAAACATTAGGCTAGGCTAGTCATATAGGAGCCCTAGCAGTTATATAGACAGTGATGCAGTCTAACTCTGATCTCTTGAAAGATTTTATACCTGAGCTGCCTGGTTAGAAGCAAGTGATTGCCTAAGACAGGAATTGCTGACAAGGTTAGAGTTTAGATGCAGCAGAGATGACGCCACCAAGCTGACTCCTACTCGGATGGCGTAATTGCTTAAGCACAGCAGGAAAACGATAACTTGCGCCAAAAATGGCAATTTTTCTATTCTGAGGCAGTCCATGTGATATCCTGGAAGATGAAGCAATCTTTGCTCAGGGTTCCCTAGAAATAGTAAAATGCCGAACTAGAGAGGAAAATTAAAAGAGAAAAAGGAAATTTGTATCTCCTCAGAGGGAACATAATTGTTCATGTTTGCATTATGTGTCAAAATCAAAAGTGAAACTGGGTTGTTTATTACAAAGTACCCAAAGTTATATGCATTAAAACTTCCATTATTCTGCCTGTTAGTAAATATTTACTAATATAACACGGGCAACATTTTAATAGTACTTGACAATTATGTGTGCCAGTGTGTTCATAGAAAAAAGTGGCAATAAAGGTTATCTCATCTCAGGACAGATGTTCCATAAAACATGGTTCAGCTATAACTGCTGCTCAGTTTATAGGACTTGCCTGCTTTTTAATTAATATTCCAGATATTAACTATGTCTCAAAGTGGCACTGGGCAAGTACTATCAGTTTCAGTAGCCATGGTCAGTGGGAGATGAGGGCTACAAAGAGGAGAGTGCTTGTGGCTCTGTGGCCCCTTAGGTAGCAAAGTAAAATATTTGTTCTAAGGAATCAATTTTTGAGCACTTATCTTATTAGTAGCAAATTGTCAAGTAGATTAGAAGACTTGCAGTAGGATTGATTTTAAAGGAGTAGGGATAAAGCAAGTGAAACACAGAATACTCCCTGCCTCTCACCCTCTGTGCGGATTCACCAAGGCAAGGATATAATGCTCATTTTCTTGTCCAACCTTTGCCAACATGAATACAAATTTGCAAGGGTCCTCTGGCTCCCATTCACTTTAATAAAGTTTCCACAGTAGGAGGTCTTCAAGCATTAGCCCCAGGTCTGATTTCCCAATGAGTTCTGTCACATTTTCACAAAACAGTCTCCCATTATACCTGTGGCTGAGAACGGAGGTCAGTCTTTTGCACAAAATCTTCTTTATGGGTACCATCACAGTAGGGAGGGTTCTTGGTGTATTTACACCCACATAACCAGGCCTTTTTTGATTCTTCAGCTATGAATCTCAGGGGAGACATTGCTGGGGCACTTTTCTTATGGGTTCCATCACAGAAGGGCTGTTAGATAGACACAAAACCAAGACTGTAAACAAGCCTAACAAAAGACAGCACTGTCTGTCTATGGATTTTACAGTGGATTTTATAGTTGCAGTTTTGCTCAGATTACAAAAACATCCTAGCCTGAGAAACTGGGACTTGGTTAAGGCTGAAGAGGAAAGTTTGTGTTGCAATTTTTTTTAGCTTGTATGTGTTGAACAGTTTCAAAACTTTTTGCATTAGCAAAAAGAGAAATGGCTTCTTCAAACTCAGCCAATACACCACAGCATATGGATGTGCCCTTCTTCCCAGCTTTGTTAAGGCACTGGAGTCCATGTTTGCACAAAAATGAACATAAGAGAAACGTGAGAAATGCTGGAAGGCTACCTGCTTTTGGCTGTGTCCACAAGCACACCAAGCATATCGTTTCTCTGCTATTAAGTCCACTGGAAAAGGTTCCTTGGCTGCAATCACTGGCTTGACTGATGAGGCTGAAAGAGCTGAACAGCTTCTTATCTGCAAGCAGGGAAATAAGAAAGCATTGGCTTTATGAAAAAAACAACAACCCAAGACATCAGATTAACTAATACCATTCCTTTTATTAGGTAAAAAGTTCAAGGCATGAAACTGAAAATAGGGTGGTTCCCCCCCACCCACTCTTTCACTACTTTCCACCATGAAGAAATGCACAAATTAAATATAGCAAAGATACAAATATATTCACCTACTCATTTTCTACCTCAAATGTTCACTTCCAAAGTCATCTTCTGGTGCATTCAAGATCTGATTGTTGCATTTGTCTAACTAAATACAGGAAGTTCTCAACTTATTGTCACAATTGATTTCCTTTGCTATACAAGATAGTTAAGTGCATTTTGCCCTATTTTATGACCTTTCTTGCCAGTTGTTAAGTGAATCACTGCAGTTGTTAAGTTACCTACATGGTTGTTAGAGTCTGGTTTCCCCACTGACTTTGTCAGAAGGTCACAAAAGGTGGTCACATGACCCTGGGACACTGCAACTGTCATAAATACATGCCAGTTGCCAAGCGTCTGAATTTTGATTCCCCCATGGGGATGCTGCAAGGGTCATGTGAAAAATGATCACAAGTCACTTTTTTCAGTGCTGTTGTAATTTCAAATGGTCACTAATGAATGTTGTAAGTCGAAGACCACCTTAATGAATATATTTTGAGTTTTGTTTTTATAGGCACATAATGATTTGATATCCTCAAATCATTTTATTCCTGATTAACATAGTGCTTTATTTTGTGTAAGTAAAGGCAGTGTACATTATTTCCTCTGATTTTCCCTCTAACGCCACTATGAGTGGGTCGGGCTGAGGAAAAAATGATCGGCCCAAGTCACTTGGGTGACTTCCATGCCTAAGGGAGGACTAATCCAGCATCTTAGCTCCTACATCCAATTATCTCATAAAGTCCTGGGATCTGGACCAAGGACTTCCTGTTTTGACTTGCTAAGCAGCTTGATTTGTACATGAAGGCTGAAGTGACTGCTTGTTGTTCAGTTGTTGTGTCCGGCTCTTTGCGACTCCCACACTCCCACGCTAGCTGCCCCCCTATCCTCTACTGTCTGATTCTGCCCAAACTCATGTGTCGAAGATACTATCTAACTATCTCATCTCCTGCTGTCCCCTTCTCCTTTTGCCTTTCATCTTTCCCGACAATGAGTTCTCATTTGATGACCAAAGTATTTGAGCTTCAGTTTTGGTATACGTCCTTCCAAAGGACCATCAGCATTGGTTTCCTTTAGGACTGAGAAGTGGTTGCAGGCATATATAATAATAAAATAAACTTCTGTTAAAGGAGAGATGGAAAATTTATGATCTTCTAGATACAGGTAGTCCTCGACATACAATCACAATGGAGCCCAAAATTAATGTTGCTAAGTGAGAAATTTGTTAAGTGAGTTCTGTCCCATTTTACAATTTTTCTTGCCACATTTGTTAAGCGAATCACTGCAGCGGTTAAGTTAGTAACTTGGCTGTTAAGTGAATCTGGCTTCCCCATTGACCTTAGTTTGTCAGAAGGTCGCAAAAAGGGATCACATGTTCCCAGGACATGCAACCATCATAAATGTGAGCCTAGAATCCAAATGTAAATCAGGTGACTATGAGGATTCTACAATGGTCATACGTGTGAAAAATGATCATTGTCACTTTTTTTCAGTGCCATTGTAACTTTAATGGTCACTGAATGAGCTGTTGTAAGTCAAGGACTACCTGTACTGTTAAAGTACAACTAACTTTCAACATTCTCCCTCCAGCTTTCTTATGGTGTCAGGAGTTGATCAAAGTTCAAGTTTAGCAATTACCAGAGACCCATGTTTTAATTCCTGGAAAAGTGTTTTTATAAGAACCAAAACTCCAATAGTTTTTATATAAAAGTGTTTTTACACAACTACAACTTATTCCTCTGGGAATCATTACCTCCTCTTGTTTCAGGAATTTATTTATTAATTTTCACCTTATGTGAGAAATATCCACACTGAAGCCAGTGAGGATCACTTTTCAAAAGGCCTGTATGAGAAAGGAACATTCAACTGTGCTCTTATTTATTTTTTGAACTATTTTTTTGTGGTGTATCATTTCTTGTTTTAACCTTTGGCCCCATCGTACGCGTCTGTTCCTAACCACAATGTGGCCAACATGACATTATGTAAACTCACCTGTCATACTTGCGTCATAAGAGGTTGTGTTTGCACTGAGACAATGTAAAATATATTTCATCACTTGCCCAATCTGAATATGGCATTAAGAACTATTCAGTAAACTAGGAAAAGTTTGCTCTGGTGCACTGCTAGGGTTTGGATGTCCTGTTAGGCTGGACCTATATAAAAGCTATTCTTTTAGAACCTGAGAGACAGAATACATGCTCGAATACAGGAGATAGAGTTAAAAAAAATATGCATATTATACCATGCCGGGGATATCTAAGTAAACACTGTCCTGTAGGGTTTATTTTTGAAATGTTAACGAGTCAAAAATAAATCCCACTACATCATTTGGTGCTCTTTCCTTTCCTATACGAAGGCCTGCAGCAGCCTCACTTACCATATATCTTTCTCTACGGACATCTCAATAAAACGTTCAAAAATTGCATTTGTATGGAAAAAAGCAACGCAAACTGAAAAGTCGTCGAAATTCGGGGCGTAGGAAAGGAGAGGGTGGGAAAGGTGCAAACTTGCCAAGCTTCTGTGCTTACCTGCGAGAAAAAAAGGCGACAGAAGGAGGCTAATGGTGAAGCCACGATACCCCTGGCTTTCTGCAGCCCGGGCATGGTTGGCAAAACAAGCTCTTCCCACCACCCGGGTCACCTTCGCGGCCGCGCGCCGCATCCGCGCGCCAGGGAGCAGCGGGGGTGGGTGGGTGGGTGGGGGATGGCAAGCTCCGCCCACAATTGGTGGAGAAAGGTTGCGAGGGGGCGCTGCGGCTGAGGAAGCTTTTGCAAGCTGGCGACGGCTGGGGGTGGTGTGATAGGAATTGAAATCTGAGACATCCGGGAAACGTGGATGATTACAGTTGGGCGGTTTGGTTGCATTCGTGTGCTAAAAGGCTTGATTGCAGCCTTTTGTTTCTTTTGCCACTCAAGGCTTGATTTCCGTTAGGAACAAAATGACACTAGATTGAATAGCCTTAAAGGGTATAGATATTTGTGCGCATCACCTACTAACAATAAAGTAGTAAAGAATAAACGGCCTGTTTAACAACTACCTTAACATCGGATTCCTAAATGGCTCCTGTCCCATAGATAGCAGAATTAGGATATCCCTTTTGATGAGCCATTCATTGAAAGCATTATATCCAAGTATAGGACGTGAGAGAAACAGAACATATGCATGTAAAATGTCAAAGAGGAGGAACTGGTGAAAACGAGGTGTAAACGAGCATCTCTTGGGTTTATTTCCACTTATAGTATATACTATAAAATAGGTAAGATCTTGGAAAATATTATTCATGGCTCCTGCAAATGAGAAGCTGTGCTCCTCAAAAAGTTCTGAGGGGTACTTTGAAAGAACCTTATTTGATCTGATTCTAGCTGTCTTCACAGATTGTTTAAGAAATAATTTGTTTAAAAAGGAACATATACACTGGGTTTTGATGGAGTATCATTAGCTTCTTAATTCCCCCCCCCCCATTGATCTAAGTTCAATATTGGTGTAATTTCAAATTCAAAACTTAGCCAAGATTCCCACATTTTCAACCTAATTAATTTGTGTTTTTCCAGGAGAGTATTTTGTCCTCATGTAGTCATCCTCTCTAAATGTTTGGAATTTTTCTGATGCTCAGTTTTGTAACTTATAGTACTACCTGTTCGGCAATACACGATGTGTTACATAGACTTCAGCCTCTGGCAAAAAATAATAATCACCACTTTGGATTTGATTTCTAACATTTATGTTTTCTGCTTTTAATGTTTTCATCTTTTTATTGTTATGTTTTTTATTTTTTGTTGTGACCTTTTTCAACTTTATTTGTTGTCAAGGGTCACATATATGCGATGATAGCCAAATAACATTTACCAAATGAATAAATAATAAATACATTTATTTCTATTATAATTGGAAGTTTCCAAAGCAAAGAGATAGCAGTCAAATTTGTTTGATGAAAGGTGGAAGTTAAGAGGTACTTTTTTAAAAATTACTTCCTTTGTAAGTTATACCCCAGAGGTAGATAATTATTTTATCCTCAAAAGTGATATGAAGTAGCTTAGACTGCGAGATATACAGGCAGTTCTTGTTTAGTCACTGCCTCATTCAGTGACCATACGCTGTTACAACAGTGATGAAAAAAATAATTTGGCGACTACTCCTAGCATTTACGACCTTTGCAAGGCCTGTAAAGGAAAAGAAAGTTGAAGTAAGATCGTAAGCCCAATCACAGTTTTACTTAGCGATCCCTTCACTTAATGACAAAGTTTCTGGTCCCAATTGTGGTTGGTAAATGAGTACTAACTGTATATTCATTCCTATTGGCTGCATCCAGCATAACTTTATTGTTCCATCAGCTGACCTCTTTATAACCTTCATGTTTTTTCTGGATTTTTTTTTTCTTTCTCTAAAAAAATCAGGCCAGATCCAAAGACATGGAATAATTGCACAACATGATTTGATTTAGTCTGAATGCATCCCCTATTGCCTGTTGCACAAAGTTTTGTGGGATTTTGTGACTCTAAATATTTTTCTTCTTCCAGGCACGGGCATTTTAGCAACTTTGGTCAGGAGAATGCCATAATCTAAATAAAATTTAGTTTTTTAAAAAAGTCAAAGGCAGTTTTTTGAGGGGAGATAAGCAATGCCAGAGTAGAAAGAAGGTAGAAAAACTAAGACAATTCTTCTTCTTCAACTTCAGATTAAAGCTTGGCACTTCCAGAAAACTAAAAGAAAATTTTAATATGATGAAATAGAAACAAGATTATTTACTCAGCTATGATATAATCCCCATCTTTCCTTGTTCAGGCTCTGCTCAAAAGGTAATTGAGAGCAGAATTCCAAACCTGCTTTACAGATGGAAATAATGATTGTTTTTACTTTGGGAACACTGGGGGAAAACTTTTGAGTTTTTGTAGGGCATACTCTCAAAGACAGTGACTCTTTATTGATGCCCCAACCAGAGTTAGGCCATGCTGGGCTGGGGAATTCTAGGACTCAAAATCCACATATCTTAAAATTGCCAAAGGTGAAAAACACGGATGTGTGACACTACATGTGCTTCCCAATGCACATGTACGTACAGATATACAACAGGAGTAGGGAATCAGAGAAGACACTGATGCAACATATCACTTCACTAACCATAAGGAAATACAGATGCTTCTATAGCCATTGCCAAGTAAAGAGATCGCAAAGAATGGTAGAAGCCATGTTTTGCATTCTTTCCCTACCTTTTTTTTAATAACTGAATGATACTTCCTCTCTTAATTTGCATCTGTAAAGCATCTGTAAAGTCTCTCTGCTTCCATCCAAATCAAATCATGCTAATCTGAGGGTCTAGCCTGTTCAAGACACCCATTGCCATGTGGGAGCCTCTTCCTCTTGGCACAATTCCACATGGCTGTGGTGTGTATGAATACTGTAGCATGTGTCCGATCACAAGAATTTCCTGATCACAAAGTTACTAGCATATGATTCTGTATTTGTGGGTGTATAGTATATATTTTAGGATGAAAGAAATTAAGAAAATGATCTTTAGTTGCTCTTGTACATTGGGATAGTATTCTTGGGGGGAGGGGGGAGAAATGGGATGTTACAACAATGGCATCCTTTGAAGTCTCTGCTGCCAATAGAACCTGAGGCAACTCCCTCTAGGAAATGAAATTATATCACATCTGGGTTGCAAAAAGATACAAAAACTCTTAAAACATTTTTTTGCTGCTATCTCATGGCTATTGGGAATTTTGCAGCTCAAATTTGCTAGCACTTGCAGTATCTTTTTCAAAGAGACGTTTCTTTGATATTATTCTAGAAGTATCAAAACTGAGCATCTTGGATGCTTCCAAATGGATTGTCCGTTGCTACTTCCAAAGACTTTAGGTACTTGCTTCCTTTTTTCTTCAATAATGACTATCTTGTCATTATTAGTCCAGTGTTTCTCAACCTTGGCAGCTTGAAGATATGTGGACTATAATTCCCAGAATTCCCCAGCTAGCCTTGTTGGATGTGGAATTCTGGGAGTTGAAGTCCACACATCTTAAGCTGCCAAGTTGAGAAATTCTGGAGTAATGCTTTATATGGATAAATAGACTGGTTCTGACTATTTTGCTACACTCACCTTATATTGGAAGAACCTTTTTAAAAAATTTCCATTCATAGCTGGGTTGGATGCAGATAGTTACACATTGTAGTTACACATTGCCAACATATACTCAATATATTTATTTAAATGACTTGAATAGTAATCTCTCCTTAAGGATATCTGCCCGTCCCATTAGAGCTCCTATTGTACACATGCACTCCAGATTCCTTCCCTTAAATATTGCTAACTTTTGGGTGCCTGGAGCATTCCCTTTTAATTGTAGTCTCTGCCTCATGGAACACCCTCCCCCTGAGATCCAAAGCCACCCAACATTAACCTAGGCCAAGGTTAACTGTGGAAGGAGACTGTGGGTCGCATCGGGAAAGAGTGGTTTTGATGCCCAGTTTTTCTATTTTATCGTTTCCTCCTTTTATTGTGTATATATTATTATATTCTTGGTTGTGTGCTGACAAAAGTTTGGCTTCTGATGGGCAGCTATAGAAAGGTTTTAAACCAACCAACCAACCATAAATGTGAGGGCCACTTTGGTGTGGTGTTTACAGCACCAAGGTAGAAACTGGGAGACTGTGAGTTCTGCCTAGTCTTACCTTAAACACAAAGCCACCCAGTTCCACTCTCTCAGCTCTAGGAAGAAGGCAAGGGCAAACCACTTCCAAAAATGTTGCCAAGAAAATTGCAGGGAATAATCCAGGCAGTTACCAGGAACTATCAATGATTTCAGTACATTTTTAACTTGAGAGTTGATAATGAACCAGCATGGCAGAAGAAAGGAATTTTTACCTACATTCTCTTATTTTGGATTGGAGTTTTTAATCCTTTATAGCAGTAATCCCCAACCTTTTTGACGCCGCGGCCCGGTACCGGCATCAGCTGGGCGCCGCGGCCCGG